TTTTGAGCATGATAATGCCCTGGTTCATACCGCACGTGTAGTCAAAAACTTGATAAGTAAGCAGAACGTGTCTTTATTGGAATGGCTCTCTTACTCTCCTGATTTCAATGTAATTGAAAAAGTATGGGGATGGCTTACACGTAAATTGTACGCGTCTGGAACACAGTTTACAGCCGTCCAATCATTAACAGAAGCCATAAAAAGTGCCTAGAGCGAAATTTCATTGGACTATATAAAGTCCTTATATGATTCCCTTCCTAACCGAATCTACGAGGCTATTTCCAAATATTCAACACATCCATACATACCTAACTGTTTATGTACACTCCCAATAGAATTAATTTACATCAGAATCGTGTCTCTGCGTTTTTATATGAGTGTATATATGCAGCACTAAGTTGAACCAAATCAGCAACAACAACAACAGCTGCGGGCAGAGCATGGGCAGCGATTTTATTTATGGCTATAACTTTCTTCAGAATTAACCAATCATAATGAAACTTAACATATGGACACATAATCACTAACAGGATTAAATAACGAGTTTTAGTTAAAAATTCCCTAAATTACGGGACTTATGGAAAAAACAGACAGACGGACGTGGCTATATCGGCTATTGTCATCCTGATCAAAAATATATATAATTTTTGGGGTCTGTCTCGCCTCCTTCTCCATGTTACATTCGAACAAACCCTTCACCTTTGGGTACAGGGTATAAAAACGAAGCTAATGCAGTTCGATTAGGATTAAATGAGATCCCAATGCATTAATTCTATATTAAACAATGGCATATACTGATAGGAGCATTAATGCTTAAATAATTTTGAAACAAATTGTTAAATTTGCCTTTACCAGAAGAAATTGTTCTTTTAGTTGCAAATTTCATTAATCGCAGTTTTTTCTCCAGTAGTTAAATTAGTGAGACCTAATTGGTTTTACTGTAACAGTTATAAATTACTGTTGCAGTTGTGGAACATCATCATGTTAACGGTGGTATCGTAAATCCATAAATAAAGCGCGCATAATTTTTAAGGCTTAAATGCTTGTAAAGCATTCTTAATAGATCAAGTGAGTACTTAAAAATGCTCTATGCCAAAAGTGATCGTAAGATATGTATGTATAACTGTACAAGTAATGAATAATAATAATGCGTGTTATTGGTAGCACCGATCTACATACATATGTACATGCGACACTGGCATATTGCCGTGTTTTGTTAGTAACTGTGTACATACGTACATATGTATGTATGTATCATGTATATGTATGTGTGTGAAAGATTGGGGCATTTCGCTTATTAAAACGTGGTAATTGTCTTCTGTATATGAAATATACAAGAGTAGATTGGGTTTGCGGGAGGTAAAAAGTGTAACAGGCAGAATAAGTCGTAGCAGACCCCACAAAGTACATCTAATGCTGTTTTTACACGATTTTGATATAACATGTTTGTATATTTCTTTAGAAATAAGGAACCAATCACCTCTTTTTGCTTATGATCAATGTTTTTTTTACACGGTTGTTTCTGGAACCAATCTATCGTGTAAAACCAGAATTAGGTGTATACAAGAGAGAACGCTATATTCGAGCAAGCCCGACATTGAAATACCCTGTACCCAGATAAACTTCCAACACTGAAGTATATGCGCCCCAGAAGCAAAAGGAAGAAGAAGAGCGAACTTGATGCTGCAGCTTGTGGGCGTAGTACCGGGGTGAAATTGTTTCGCTAATAATTAACCGATTTAGATGAAATTTGAAACAAAATAGATTATTATGTATTAATTATGTGTTCAAAGTTTGGTTAAGGTAGCTTTTGAAATGTAGACGGTATTGACGAAATTCTGTAGCGAGGGAAAGGGAGGAAAATTCAAAACAATAAAAAAAAACTCGTCCTTTCTCGGACCTATGAGAATCAGGATACCAACTTTGGTTATTCCAGCTTTTATAGTTTCTGAGAACCTTGAGTTCATCCAGACAGACGGACATGTCTAGATCGAGTTCTCTCGTCATGCTTCCTTCAGCAAGTTTCATACTTTGCAGAAACCTACAATTAATATATCCTTTCTACCCTACGGGTACAGGGTATAAAAAGTAGGAAAGTGCGGGTTTTCAACAAGAAAAAGTATATGTACCAAATACTAGGAAGCAACGAAAAGTGTTTTTTCTTAATAATAATTGAAAAATTTGTATGCAATTAGTTTTCCTTTGTTACGGTGGTGTACAGCGGTTAGTGGATGCCGGAATCTTGTGTTTGTTGACTCCATAGTGAACAATAATTGTTACCTGAACATCTTTCGAGTAAATTTGCACAAAAGTGCCACGAAATTGGGGCTCAGTAATGACTTTTAGTGCCAGCAGAATAACGATCCAAAACATACAGCCCACAAATGGGACGAATGGCCCACAATAACGCCTGGTGACCTACCAAAATTAGTCCAATCAATTCCAGTATTGCTTCCTATACTGCATACTGCATACTTTTTATACTCTGTACATGAAATGTACAAGAGTATATTAGGTTTGCGGGAGCTGAAAATGTAACAGGCAGAAGGAGGCGTGGCAGACCCCACAAAGTATATTCTTGATCACCATGACGAGACGAGTCGATCTAGCCCTGTCTGTCTGTCTGCCCGTCTGTCCGTATGAACACCTGGATCTCAGAGACTATAAGAGGTAGAAACACCAAACTTTGCACAAAGATGCGTTATGTGTGTACGCTGTGCAAGTTTGTTTTATTTTTTTGATTTCCCCCCCACTTCCCCCCTATGCGTGTTTTCCCGATTTTCCATTCGTATAATAGCCTATATCTCGGAGACTATAAGACCTACGGACACCACATTTTAGTCCCAGATGCCTTATGTGAATACGCAGAAAATGTGTATTTTGGAATTTCCCTCCCTCCTCCCTCTTCCATGAAAATCGCGATTTTCTCTAACTCCCGTAATTCTTGGAATTTAAAACTACAATTTTGCAAATACCCCCAGTTAGTAATTATGTGTCTGTTTGCCAAGTTTCATCATGATAGACCGATTTAACAAGATGTTATAGCCATAAATATATTTGCTGCTCAAGCGCTGCCTGCGGCTGTTGTTGATGCTGTTGCTTTGGTTGACTGCTAACATGTTTACACAGACACGAATATACGAGCATATACAAACATACACTCACATAGACGCAATTGCTTTGTATATGTGCAATTATACACCCTTTACGTGAGTTCGAATACCAAAAGAGGTAAAATCGATGAAAATTTTTTTTGTTAATTCTCTTTTTTTAATTTCTATAACAATTCTAAACATATGTACAGAGTATTTCAAAGTCGGGACACCCGACCTAAGCTTTTTTTTTAACGTTATGTTTTGCTTTTGGCTGTGCTAAAAACACACCGTTTTTGTCATGCACTTGAATAGGGACAAAGATGATAACTTTAGTGTGTGTTCACCTATGAACACAGAAGGTTGTATTTGGGCCGTGGTCAAACACTCCTGAAGAAAAGGGCAAAATATTAGCATTTAAGGAGTGCGGCATGAATATAAAACAAATTGCCAGAAAAATTAAGAAAGGCAAGTCGGTTGTTGGAAATTTTCTCACAAATCCATTGATGGGGAAAAATATGAAAGGACACACAAAAAAAGCACTTACATCTTCAGATGAACGGCGCGTTCTTCGGGAAGCGTCAAGCTCACATTCCTCCGCATCTGCAATTCGCATAAACTTGGGAATAAATGCAAGTGTTGATACAGTGAGTCGTGTTATACGGAAAGCAAAACACCTTAAAAGATTAAGACTAAAAAAACCACCTCTGACAAAGCCATGTAAAGTCATTCGTCACCATAGTCGTGAAGGAGGTATTATAGTATGGGGCGCAATTTCATATTATGGAACAAGCGAGATCAAATTTTGATCATTAAAGTTAAATACCAAAGCTTGCTTGGGGAGGCATTTTCTTACTTTGGCAACATTTTTGATCCTATATCTTGGATTTTTGAGCATGATAATGCCCCGGTTCATACCGCACGTGTAGGCTAAAACTTGATAAGTAAGCAGAACGTGTCTTTATTGGAATGGCCCTCTTACTCTCCTGATTTCAATGTAATTGAAAAAGTATGGGGATGGCTTACACGTAAATTGTACGCGTCTGGAACACAGTTTGCAGCCGTCCAATCATTAACAGAAGCCATAAAAAGTGCCTAGAGCGAAATTTCATTGGACTATATAAAGTCCTTATATGATTCCCTTCCTAACCGAATCTACGAGGCTATTTCCAAATATTCAACACATGCATACATACCTAACTGTTTATGTACACTCCCAATAGAATTAATTTACATCAGCGTTTTTATATGAGTGTATGTATGCAGCACTAAGTTGAACCAAAGCAGCAACAACAACAACAGCTGCGAGCAGAGCATGGGCAGCGATTTTATTTATGGCTATAACTTTCTACAGAATTAACCAATCATGATGAAACTTAACATATGGACACATAATCACTAACAGGATTAAATAACGAGTTTTAGTTAAAAATTCCCTAAATTACGGGACTTATGGAAAAAACAGACAGACGGACGTGGCTATATCGACTATTGTCATCCTGATCAAGAATATATATAATTTTTGGGGTCTGTCACGCCTCCTTCTCCATGTTACATTCGAACAAACCCTTCACCCTTTGGGTACAGCTAATGCAGTTCGATTAGGATTAAATGAGATCCCAATGCATTAATTCTATATTAACCAATGGCATATACTGATAGGAGCATTAATGCTTAAATAATTTTGAAACAAATTGTTAAATTTGCCTTTACCAGAAGAAATTGTTCTTTTAGTTGCAAATTTCATTAATCGCAGTTTTTTCTTCAGTAGTTAAATTAGTGAGACCTAATTGGTTTTACTGTAACAGTTACAAATTACTGTTGCAGTTGTGGAACATCATCATGTTAACGGTGGTATCGTAAATCCATAAATAAAGCGCGCATAATTTTTAAGGCTTAAATGCTTGTAAAGCATTCTTAATAGATCAAGTGAGTACTTAAAAATGCTCTATGCCAAAAGTGATCGTAAGATATGTATGTATAACTGTACAAGTAATGAATAATAATAATGCGTGTTATTGGTAGCACCGATCTACATACATATGTACATGCGACACTGGCATATTGCCGTGTTTTGTTAGTAACTGTGTACATACGTACATATGTATGTATGTATCATGTATATGTATGTGTGTGAAAGATTGGGGCATTTCGCTTATTAAAACGTGGTAATTGTCTTCTGTATATGAAATATACAAGAGTAGATTGGGTTTGCGGGAGGTAAAAAGTGTAACAGGCAGAAGAAGTCGTAGCAGACCCCACAAAGTACATCTAATGCTGTTTTTACACGATTTTGATATAACATGTTTGTATATTTCTTTAGAAATAAGGAACCAATCACCTCTTTTTGCTTATGATCAATGTTTTTTTTACACGGTTGTTTCTGGAACCAATCTATCGTGTAAAACCAGAATTAGGTGTATACAAGAGAGAACGCTATATTCGAGCAAGCCCGACATTGAAATACCCTGTACCCAGATAAACTTCCAACACTGAAGTATATGCGCCCCAGAAGCAAAAGGAAGAAGAAGAGCGAACTTGATGCTGCAGCTTGTGGGCGTAGTACCGGGGTGAAATAGTTTCGCTAATAATTAACCGATTTAGATGAAATTTGAAACAAAATAGATTATTATGTATTAATTATGTGTTCAAAGTTTGGTTAAGGTAGCTTTTGAAATGTAGACGGTATTGACGAAATTCTGTAGCGAGGGAAAGGGAGGAAAATTCAAAACAATAAAAAAAAACTCGTCCTTTCTCGGACCTATGAGAATCAGGATACCAACTTTGGTTATTCCAGCTTTTATAGTTTCTGAGAACCTTGAGTTCATCCAGACAGACGGACATGTCTAGATCGAGTTCTCTCGTCATGCTTCCTTCAGCAAGTTTCATACTTTGCAGAAACCTACAATTAATATATCCTTTCTACCCTACGGGTACAGGGTATAAAAAGTAGGAAAGTGCGGGTTTTCAACAAGAAAAAGTATATGTACCAAATACTAGGAAGCAACGAAAAGTGTTTTTTCTTAATAATAATTGAAAAATTTGTATGCAATTAGTTTTCCTTTGTTACGGTGGTGTACAGCGGTTAGTGGATGCCGGAATCTTGTGTTTGTTGACTCCATAGTGAACAATAATTGTTACCTGAACATTTTTCGAGTAAATTTGCACAAAAGTGCCACGAAATTGGGGCTCAGTAATGACTTTTAGTGCCAGCAGAATAACGATCCAAAACATACAGCCCACAAATGGGACGAATGGCCCACAATAACGCCTGGGTGACCTTATCAAAATTAGTCCAATCAATTCCAGTATTGCTTCCTAGTATTTTGTACGCATACTTTTTATACTCTGTACATGAAATGTACAAGAGTATATTAGGTTTGCGGGAGCTGAAAATGTAACAGGCAGAAGAAGGCGTGGCAGACCCCACAAAGTATATTCTTGATCAGCATGACGAGACGAGTCGATCTAGCCCTGTCTGTCTGTCTGCCCGTCTGTCCGTATGAACACCTGGATCTCAGAGACTATAAGAGGTAGAAACACCAAACTTTGCACAAAGATGCCTTATGTGAATACGCAGAAAATGTATATTTTGGAATTTCCCCCCCTCCTCCTCTCCACCGCAAATCTCGATTTTCTCTAACTCCCGTAATTCTTGGAATTTCGAACTCAAATTTTGCAAATACCCCCAGTTGGATATTATGTGTCCGTATGCTAAGTTTCACTATTAAGAAGAAATTATAGCAATAAATATATTTGCTGCTGCAGCGCTGCCCGCGGCTATTAATGTTGCTGTTTGGTTGACTGCTAACATGTTTACTCAGACACGAATATATGCGCATAGGCATACATACACTTACACATACGAAATTGCTATATAAATGTGCAATTATACATAATTTACGTGATTTCGAATACCGAGAAAGGTAAAATCGATCAACATTTTTTTTTAAATTTTTTTTGTTTTCTGTTATTATTGTAAACATATGTACAGAGTATTTCAAAGTCGGGACGCCCGACTTTAGCTGTTTTACTTGTTTTACAATCGGTACTTGAACCAAGTGTAATTCGGAGGAGCTGAAAGGGAATGTGAGATCATAAGAGCACGAGTGTTCTTTTTGTTCCGTCTGTTTATTGATTGAAATGCAGGGGTTTATATACAAAATTGAGAATGTGCGTAGGTCTAATTATTACTAATATTGATTCTTAAAATAAATCGTTGCTGGGGTGTTGTATGCAGCTAGCTGAGTCGGTGCGTGCATATCCAGCGTAGGTGTAGGTAGACGTGGCACCCGGTTGGTGGTTGTTTTGTACACATGCGCTGCTGCTATTCTAACAATAGCTAAGAATAGCTGCCTGCGTTGGCTGCCTGCGTTGGTCCATGCGTAGCTCATGATACGGTCAAGTGCGTATGACATTGACAGTACGATGAACTTCAGCGCTATGGGGCATATACTTGTATGAACACCAACAATAGTAAAATAACAAAAGTATTGTATCAATGGGATAATAATTATTTATTCTGCGTTGAGCTTACCTAATAACGATTTTATTGTTTCTTCACTTAAAGAACTTCTTTTATCGTTTTAAATGAAATGAAGAGATGAAAATGCCCTTTCAATGAACACCTGAGTCGCCGGTGTAGCCAGCACAACATGTGTGAGAGAACTCAGGTGTGGGGATTTTAGCTTCAATTCCTTGTAAAAATCTAGAATGTCCGCATTCAATGGTAAATGACGATGCTGCTCTCTAATATTCACATGACGTTATAGGAGTCATTGAAAGCGCGCTATAAATTGAGTTCACTAATTCTCTAAACCCTTCGCTCTCCAGAAATAAAAATGGCTTTCCGTCTGTGGTCACAATTTTAATTATTCATGAAACGACTGCGTCGTCACTAGTTTCATAACTTATTTTTCTTTTTTTTAATCTTTTGTTGTCCTTCGTTATGTCCATTGCTGTCCATTTCATTAAATAATTCGGCATGTTTCGCTGTCAAATGGCGTTTTAATTTGTGGTGTGCGAACCTGCTAATTTTAAACTGAATATGTTGCATTGATTTTTATTAGTTCCAGCATAAAATTTAAAAAAAATGCACTTTTTTATTTTGGTCCCAGCCCATTTTTAATGAACAATCCAAAGACACAGAAAAAGAAAATTAAATGATAAGAACAAATAAGTCATACACTTACATGCACGCACACAAACGCAAAAGACTTATTTTCTCGCTCAGGACGAAACGTTCAGTAAATAATCAGATCAAAAGGGAAACAAAAAGCTGATTCTTGGTGAACTGAGAACGATTTATTCAACAAACGTAGTGAACGGTTCAGTTGTGACTATTTCCCAAAAAGGTCCGTAAATAACAGTTATTTTGTGACCTAGAGAAACGGTTAACAGTTATTTGCAAGCTCTGATATTGGCCGATAGGCTCAATAAAAGAATATAATTACGACTTGCGCCAGAGCTGTTACTTTTTTAGCACGTTAGTGGTTGAATAAATTGTAAGAACTAATTACAAAGGTGAAATCGAACTTAAAGCTTAACTCTGATGCTTACAGCTTAGCGTCGCCGTCTTTGCCGTGGTTCACCGAAAAGTGCTGATCCCGTACTTCTATCACCACCTGGGGTCGTCGTTCGTAAGAATGCAACGTAAGCTTTTGCATTCTCTTTCTGGGCCTCGCTGTGGTGACTGGGTTAGTAGAATTTGGCAACTGAACTAGTTCTTGCCCGGGAGCAAGATCCCAGTGCCCGTTTTGCTTAGTGTTAACTTACATAATGAATAAGAATATATCATGTATATGTAGATAATTGTGTAAAAGATTGGGGCATTTCGATTATTATATGCGCCCATAGCAGCAGCAAAAAAGGAAGAAGAAGAGCGAACTTGTTGCTGCAGTTTAGGGGGTTGTACTAGCGAGAATTTGTTTTGCTAATAACTTTTCTTAGAATTGACCGAATTGGATAAAATAAACAACAGTAGATAATCTCTATATATATAGAACAGTTTGTCCTGACTGACTGACTGATTGGCAATCAACGCACAGCCCAAACGGTAAGAGCTAGGAAGCTGAAATTTGGACACAAGATCCCTCTTATAGTGAAAGTGAGCACTAAGAAGGGGTTTCGGAAAATTCGAGCTCCAAAGGGGGGAAAACGAGCTCCGATTAACTTCAAACTTAGTTTGTGTACTCTCACAAAGAATACAAAAAAAAAACTGTATACATGGATTTTCAATATTTTTCCTGCGGCCTGAATAATAATGATTTTCCGGTGGAAAATTCGGTAAACGAAAAGCTATTTGCAATCAACGCACAGCCCAAATGGTAAGAGCTAGGAGGCTGAAAATTGGACACATGTTGTCTTCAGTGGTGTATGTGAGCATTGGTGTATGTGAGGTTTTGGAAAATTCGAACGCCAAAGGGGGGAAACGGGCTCCAACGTTTGTATGAAAAATCTACAACTTTCATCCAATTAACTTCAAACTTAGTTTGTATACTCTCAAAAAAAATACAAGAAAAACTGTATACTTGGTTTTTCACCTGGGGCATGAAAAAGGGGGGGTTTTCCGTGGAAAAATTGAAAAACAATCAACACCCCACAGCCCAAACGGTAAAAGCTAGGAAACTTGGGCTCAATTATCCTATCATGGTGTAGATGCGCACTAAGAAGGGATTTTGGAAAATTCGAGCTCCAAAGGGGGGAAAAGTAGCTCCGAAGTTTGTTTGAAAATTCTGCATTTCTGAATCGATCAACTTTTAATTTGGTTTTTATAATCTATAAAAGAATACAAACAAAACTGCATACTCGGTTTTTCGATATTTGTATTGGAGCTTGAATTATTGGGGTTTTAATATTTATTCATTTTTTCAAATGAAAAGTTTGTGTTATAAATTTTGTCCGATCAAATTTGGGTAATATAATCTACG